ACCAGTTCTCTTAAAAGCCACTAAAAGATTCCAGTTTGTGCCAACACTGCCATGTGTGAACCCTATTCTCCAGCTCTCCTGACTCTGGATGTGGCTCACACTGCTTGCTGTCAGGCTTGGTGAGGAGGTTCCCAGGGTGTCTAAAGTTAGGAAAAAACGTGTACTGCAAAAAGTCTTGTTTTCAGGTCAGGGACATCTGTTTTCCATGAGAGCACCTTGTCATCTTGTCATGTAAATTCTTAGACCCCCATAGATTTAAATTGAAATTCATGTAAAACTCAAATAGAAATAGAAATAGAAATGTATGAAAGGTAGGAGTTCCTTTCAACAGAAATAGAAGTGTGCAGGCTGTGATTATTGAAGACTGAAGACAAGCAGGAATTTAATGGATCAGTCTCATTTAGAAGGAGAATTGTTGTCTGGAAAATTATTCCCTGGAAGGAGAGGGATTGGTAATAAAAGGTAACTGAGATATCAACACCTCCTGGTGCCCTGGCAGAAAGTTGGAGATGACTCAAAGAGCTGTGACCTCCTCTTTTGCCTCTTGGACCAGGACAAATTATCTACTTTTGAGTTCATCTGTTTAAACTGATTCAGCTTCCCTTTCCAGTGAGAAAGCATTCTAGTATCTGCAGGAATCCTGACACTGGAGTTTGTGCCTGAGAAGTGAGGAACAACTGAAAATTCCAGCAAGTTGAAGTTGTTGGAATTGTTGGAAGAGCTGTTGGAAGAGTCTAAGTGTTGATTTTCAGATGTGTTGGATTGTTCCTAGATGGAATACAGACTTCATTTGTGAGAAACTGGTCTGGCTCAGTGGAAACTCCCTTCCCAGCTTTATCCCCAGATTCCTGTGTTATCCCAAACAAGCCACTTAACCCTTTTTCATCTCCTCCACACCTTCCCTTTTGTACAATGACATGAATAATTTTATCTTGTGGAGGTCTCAGCCATGTTTCCATGGCATAAAGAATCCATCCATGGGCTCTTTATGAGTACTGTGGTAGGACTTGTCTGTGAGTAGAGGACAGATTCCCATTAGGTCTAGCCTTTAGTATCAGCATGTGTGGAGTGCTTTACCCAAAAACATGGAATGGTTTGGATTGGAAAAGACCATAAAGATAAAATTCCATCCTATCCAGCATGCTGTGCCTTGGTTTAATACAAATAATAAATTACAAATTATGCACCTCCCTTGGTGATCAGTGTCAATCCAAGTTTCTCTTCTAGTGGAAGTTGGAGCACATTTTAAGGCAGTGGGTGATATTTTCTGTGTGGGCAGATTTTCCTGTGACCCTGGAGATGTGTGCCCAGACACACCTTGCTGGTTTGCTCAGTTTTGATGTGACTTGGAGATATTCCTGTCAATGTCAAATTCACATCTCCTGTTGAGCTACTTAGAATCATGGAATGGTTTGAGTTGGAAAGGACCTCAAAATTCATTTAATTCCAACCCTCTGCCATGGGCAGGGACACCTTCCACTATCCCAGGCTGCTCCAAGCCTTATCCAAATTGGCCTTGGACAAGTCCAGGGATCCAGGGGCAGCCACAACTTCTCTGAGCACCCTCCCAACCCTCTGACTAATATCCAATTTAAATGACTCCTCTCATAGTTTAAAGTTTTTTCTCCTTGTTCTATCAGTACTTATTGGTAACCTATCACTACTTAGGACTGGGTGAAACTAGCTAGGTAAGTGACATATCATCCCACAGTGATTTATGAAATGTTCTGTGTTAGAGGCCATAAGAAATTAAATTTATACTGTTTTTTTCCTCAAGAGTGGCATTGTACATATCAGAATTGTATAATTCTTAATAATTTTACCAGGTCCATACAAGACTGCAACTTCACATTATGCTTCTAACAGGAAGCATAACCAGAGTCTTGATGCCAAGATACTCCTTAAGATTTGTGATTAATGAATTTGGAATTAATTTTCAAGTCCCTTGCATTTCTAGGGTGCATCATTCTGATCTGCTCCATATTTAAGGGTGTTTATTTAAGTCATTTAGTAAAGTGCTCAATTCTTGTATTGCCTGCAACAGCTTTTTGTGTCTGAAGGCCCTGTCCTGTACCTTTAACATGCTTTAGATCTCAAGATATTTTTTTTTCCCAACTCGTGCTTAGTTAATTATTAAAAATAAGTTCAATAATTAAGGAGTTATACAGATTCATCTATTTTTCAGCATTTGGAGTGTTTCTGCTCACAGTACATTTTGGGTGAAGAAAGAATTTAAATGCACCACAGCTGTTGGTCTTTTAAACATTTTCCCCTCAAACAGGTAATTTATTTAGCTGTTGCACAGCCCAAACCCAGGCACCAAATGTTATTTTATGAACTTTGCATGTTTTAATCAAAATAGAGCTTGTTTTCAAGGGGAATATATTATAATTAGGGCAAAGAAACCTCAGTTATGGTCCCTCATTGACACCAGAAAGGTGTCACTGACCATATCTTGAGTCACTTGTGCTGCTGGAAGTAGAGGAGATTCTGACCTGGAGTTGTTGTATGTGGGAATATAAGTGGGAAGCAAGGAAATGGATAAATGTGGCGCTTAGGGACAGGATTTGGTAGTAGACATGAAAGAGCTGAGTTAATGGCTGGACTTGATGGCCTCACAGGTCTTTTTTAATCTTAATGATTTTATGATTCTATGAAAGTGGAATCTACTAGACTTTGTTTGGTTTGGTTTTCCCTAACAAAAATATACTGAACTTATTGGAAAATGGAAGTAGATTCTTAACATGTGGAGAAATATTCCACCCCAGATCATCAGGAAAAAAGGTACAACAAACTGTGGAATGGGAGACAGGTAGCTGAACACAGTAAGAGGTGAAAACAAGAAAAAGAAAATAAGGAAATGGGGGAATGTTTGGATGGCCTGAATATTCCTTTTGAAGAAAAAAAACCAAACAATTGAGAACATTTTCCATAAAATTTTTTGAGCCAGAGCTCAAAAATGAAAAAAAGCCTGAAAAAAGCCTTTTCCATTGGAGCATGTTTTGAATGCAGAGTGATGTTTCCCAGTCCTCAGTGACAGGAGTTGTTGCCCAGCAGTGCTGCTGTGGAGTGTGTGTGACAGATGAACTCCACAGGGGTCAGCTGTGTGTTTGGACACAGATGCATGAGAACACACATTAACACAGGCACACAAATCAACACCAGAAACAAAATGTCCAGAGCTGGAGAGAAATTGTGCAGTGGTCCACATGCAGATGGCTTCTGCCAGTTGTGGGCTTTTATGGCAAACCTAAAAATTCACAAGAATCGCTCTGTGGAAGGAGGTAAATTATTAAAGATGAAGAGAGTGTTGCTGGTAAAAGAATGGACATAGGATGATATTAAGAGGGGTTTTATGAGCTGTATTGAGGATGAGGTCTTTAACGTCTGGTGAAAGGTGGGTTTTGTCTATGCCTGCACTAGAAAACAGCGTGGCCCTATAGAAGCAGAACTGTAGGGTGAATGATGTACGTGCTGAGGATGCAAGGTCCACATGTTCTGGGGGCAACTACAGAGTCATTCCAGTCTGGTTCCATTGGCACCTTCAGTGTCTTATGTGTCCTGCTGCAGTTCAGCTTCTGCACTGGTTTCACAGAATCCCAGGATGGGTCAGGTTGGAAGGGACCCCAGTGAGTCACCTGGTCCCACCTCCCTGTCCAAGCAGGGTCATCCCAGAGCACAGGGCACAGGATTGTGTCCAGACAGTTCTGGAATATCCCCAGAGAGGGAGACTCCACTGGACAATCTGCCTCTCTGGACAATCTGTTCTGTGCTCAGTGACTGCACAGGACATTTCTGCCTCCTGTCCAGGTGGAACTCACTGGGATCAGTCCATGCCCGTTCCTCTGGTGCCATTGCTGGTCCCAGAGCAGAGCCTGGGCCCTGCTCTGACCCTCCCTGCTCACAGGGACACCCAGGGCTGAGGGCTCCTCTCAGCTGTGCCTCCTCTGGAGGCTGAACAGCCCCAGCTCCCTCAGCCTTTCCTCATCAGGGAGATGCTCCAGTCTCTTCATCATCTTCATCACCCTCCACTGGACCCACTCCAGGAGCTCCATGTCTCTCTTATACTGAGGAGCCCAGAACTGGACACAGAAAGCCAGATGCACCTCACAGAGCTGAGCAGAACAGTAGGAGATGTTTGATGCCTTCCAAAACAGTTTGTAATATGAACTGAAATACCTTTACCTTTTGCCTTACTTGAAATACCTTACCTATTTAAAAGTCTGGGAGATTTTCTTAGCTAGAAGTTGAGAAATTTCAGTGTCTCAGGTTTAGATGGCCATCATTGACACACAGAACAAGTGTTCATGTATACTTCAAAATAAAAGAGTATTTGATTCTTCGGTGATTCTGTTGTGAATTTATTGTCTTGAAGGTGCTACTTCTTATTTCCATCTTCATTAAGGAAATAGTTGGGACACTAGAATATAAGTAATGAAGATACTGGAGTATAAGGAACAAGAAAGTGAAACAGGATATGGACAGAGATGTTTGCTTAAAATAATTTGAAAATTATTTATTTGATGCAACCTCTGCACTCAGTGATTTCTGCTATTATTACTTTCCTTCAGTACGACCAAGGAGGACAGTAACTTGCTGTCGGCTAAAGGTAAATGATGATCTATTGCAAGGGAGGGAAGGAAAAGTATTCTAAAGGTGGGTGTGTGAGGCACACACTCTTCCCTGATAGTGTTCAGTGTGCTGGACCTCACTGGACCAATCTAATCCAAAGCCTGAGAGGGAAAAGAAAATGTCAAAAGTTAAAGCAAACTTAATTAAGTGAAGAAAGGAGGCTTATAGGACAATATTTTTCATTCATTGAATTATTATATGGTTTTGTTCACCCCCCTGTGAACAACAGAGACACCTCCCTTTAGACCAGGCTGCTCTGAGCCCTGTCCAACCCAGCCTTGAACCAGGAGAATGCTACTCCTCTTTGTTTGTTTTTTAAATGGATTGACTTGCTTTTTAACCTTTATTTTCCCCCTTGTTCTTTTCAGGCTGGATGCCTAAAGTAGTTTTCACACACTTGAAATCATCAGCTAATGCTAGTGACACACGGCTAGTGGTCCAGGAACATGTTGATTGGCAACCTGGTGATGAAATCCTGGTGGGAAGCTCAGGCCTTGGAGATGCACAGCAGCAGGAGGAAGTGGCTGTTATCCAGTCTGTGAACAACCTGGAGTTGAACCTTAGATCACCACTCAGGTACTCTTTCAGGAGATTTTTATAGCAGAGTGCTAAACTAGGAGAAAATTTGATCAAAGTCAGGATTTGCCATTCCCTGTGGGACATAATAACTATATCAATCCCTTTAACAAAGTTGGACAGTGATATTTCAGTTCCTAACTCCCCCTAAAGGTAGTGGATGTTCAATCCTGAATGTTTAAATTCTATGTTTAAATTTTCTGTATCATGTCCTTGCATTCAGAAAAACTTTGAAGCAGAAAACACTGATGGCCAGTAAAGTCCAGTGGTGTCAGTATAGGAATGACAAAGAAATTTCCTGCATATTCAATTCCTTGAGAAAATGCATATTTTTCATGAGAAATGTATGACTTGTATATAAAAAAATCCTCTCTTCTTGACTGATTTTCTTAAGTAATACACTCAAAGTGAACTTTTTCATTGTGGAATTTTTTCACTTTCATATTTCCAGTGAGTGTTAATTTCACTGCCTTACACTTGCTTCATCTTCTGTGCCTGGAGATCTTGGACAGACTGAAAACTGCACTTCTTACATAATCTATCTAGAGGCAATCTAACTCCAATGCCCAGGAAGATTAAGGGTATTATTTTCAGAAATAATCTGGGCTCAAGGAAAAAAGTCTTGATGGTTTTCACCAAAACCTATTTTGGGAAGAGAATTCAAAGTCTGAAATATATTGTTGTAAATCTCATAGAGTCATAGAACAACCTAAATTGGAAGGGACCCACAAGAAGCATTGAATCCAGTTCTTGGCCCAGCATAGGGAAATTCCAAAATCTCCATCATGTGCCTGGAAGTGTCATCCAAAAGTGTTTTTGAGCTCTGATGGCCTTGGGGCTGTAACCACTTCCCTGAGGGGCCTGTTCCAGTGCCCAAACAACCTCTGGATGAAAAGCCTTTTCCTAATAACACAACACAACATAATATTATGTACATAAGCTCAGGAAGGTTTGAGAGCTTGTGAAACAAAAAGATAGAAGCAAACATCAGACAAGGAAAAGCCTATCTAGCATTGACTGGATGTGCCACGTACTGAGAAAAGAACTAAAACCAGCTCAGAATTTGGGAGGTTATGGTTATAAACATAAATAACAAGGAATCATAAACATAATTCTCTCCATCTGGCTGGTGCAGATGATAATTTTTGTCCTTTGTTAGGTACCCCCACAGTGTTGGAGAGGAATGGGGCAATGGCCAAGGTCTGCCTTCGAGTGCTGTGGTGGCACTGATCAGCAGAAGGGTGGTTGTTCAAGGAAATGTCACGCTGGAGAGGATGTCCCATCTCAGGCAGTGTGCAAATGCAGGTGAGGAGGTCTTTTCTCACAGAAATGTACTGGGGAGGAAAACTGCTCCACTAAAATCCCATTGTGGCAGCATCACTGTGCATTAGAACTCCCTTTTCCTAGGATAACTGAGATAATTCCAATGCCAGGAAAGAGTTTGTCTTTCCAAACATTGTTTGACATTGAAGTGTGAAGTCTTGGGAGTTTAAACTGCACTTCATTGTAATATCTCAGATGTATTATTTTCACAATGTTGTTTCAAGCCATCTTGGGAAAGACCCTTTAGTTTTGCCTGAGCCTAAGGGTGTAGAAAAGAAAGTATCTTCTGAAAACATGTTTCAGTGTACATAATATATTAAATTTTTAATTGTGTTTACTATTTAGTCACTTAAAGACGAAGGAAAAACAAAACAGCCCAATGCTGTTTGTACTCTTTAGCATAAAATATTGAGATGTTGTTTAGGGTTGCCAAGGAAAAAATAGCAGGTGATGCATAAAATACCAGTGGTGAAAAAATGTTAAATATCTCAGTTCTCCTTTAGTTTTACCTGTATGAAATGCCATGGAGTTTGACAGGTGGATTACTGATTTACACCATCTCTTCAAGAAGCAGAATCAGACACAGTGATTATAATGTGAGTAGAGTTAGGTTATCTGGCAACCCAGGTGTAAGGTTTCCTTTAAAAAAAAAGTGCCTTGGACTTTCAGACTGTGACACAAGACTTCATTTGATATCCAGCAGCCAGCTGCTTATATTACTCATGGATTTATGGTCCATTTTGTGTGGAACTCATAAATATAGGCTCTGAAATGCACTAACTGTTTGAGGTTTATATTTGAGTTAAAGGATAGGAGGATTTCTCAGAGGAGTCACCAGAGGAGGAGTGAGCAGTGTTTTTTGTGGTTAATTTACCTTTTTAAAAGAAAAATGAGCATTACTGGACATCAGCAGGCAGTGCTGGAATTTGAGATCCCCTCTGCTCTTCCACTGAACAAGCCCAAGTAACACATTCATAGACTAAATCCCATAACAAAATATCTCACACTCATGGAAGGGTCTTTCAGGAATTTTACCCAGCTCTATGATTTAATTTTTTTGTCATACCATGGAATCCAAGAATGGTTGGGTTGGAAGGGAAGTAAAAGATCATCTCATTACACCCTCCTTCCATGGGCCAGGACACCTTCCACTCTCCCAGGTTATTCCAAGCCCTGGCCTTGGACATTTCCAGGGATTCAAGGGCAGCCACAGCTTCTCTGGACAACCTATGCCAGATCCTCACCACCCTCACAAGGAAGAATTTCTCCTTAATCTCTATTCTTGTCTTGAAACTATGGGTAGTAACCGTTCCCCATCCATCTGCAGGGAGAGTCAGAACAGAGTTTAAAGAAAACCAACAGACTGCCTCATTTCAGTTTAGTTCTATATATCCATGCCCAGTCTCTTTTCAAGAACCTCACCTAAGGGAAATCAATGTCAAATCCCTCTTCCTTATCCATACAATTATCTAAAATTAACTCCAAGGTCCAAAGTGCTGTCCAAGATGTTAAACTACAGCTTCCTGATTGTTTTGATATATTTTCCTCCCAAATGTCCAGACTTTTAGGGAAAGAACCATGACAGTTTTGAGGGGCATCAGAAATGTTTGCCTGTGCTGTCTTTGGGCCCATGTTTCAGATCCCTGCTGGAGTTGGAGTCTCACTGGGTCAGTGGGAAGGATCCCCCCCTGCACATCCCACCCCACGGGGAGGGTGCCACTCACAGCTCTCCCTGGGTTGTGTCCTAGGTCGCTCTGGGTGTTTGTACAAGAGAAGTGAGAGGCAGCTGGGCTCTCGGGACCTGGGAGCCATCGTGGTTGTGGAATCCTTCCAGGGACAGGCGAGCCAGCTCCAGCTGGAGGGGGTCCAGTTCCGCCACGTGGGCCAAGCGTTCCGGCACCACGGCAGTGCCCTGACTGTTACTGGCAACACCTGGATGGCAGGTGAGTTGCCTACACTGGAGATACCCACCTTCTCCTGCCCAAAACCTGCTTGGCTCTTGAGTCAGTTGGCAAATTAAATTGTTAAATGTGAAAAAAACCCTCGCCTCTTGTCTAAGCCCAAGTCACAGAGTGGTTTCACTTGCTTCACTTCCTTTGTATCTCTGCTTCTTCCTAAATTTTTTTTTTTTTAATGCTGCACTGCTCTTTTGATGTAGAAGAGAGTAGCTCTGGAAATGAATGCACTACGACACTATGAGGGAGCCAAAAAATGGCTCAGGCCTGTCTAGTTGCAAGGGCCAACATTTAATTTTATTTCCCAGTACTTAAGGGACATATTAAGTTCTTTTGACTTTGTTAAGTGCCAAATTCATCTCTGTGGAAGTGGCAGTGAGGGCTCTGAAAACTGGCGGTGGTAGGGGCAAGTTAGGTGGGCTCAGAGAATGTTTTAAGGGTGCTGAATGGATTTTCCCTTCCTAAGGTACATTCGCACCTTTCACAGAATCATAAAATGGTTTGGTCTGGAAGGGACCTGTGCCATCTTCATCACTGAGTGAGGGTCAGGGTTTCTTGGTGGCAGAAGGCAGCACTGGCCAGGATCTGGATTATGGGAAGGTCACCATGCCTGGCTAGAGAAGGGGTGTAAAACATCTGCCCTCAATCTGCAGAATGATTTGTGCTCACACCACTCGCTGCCTTCCAGACTCTTACATCCGTGGTTGTTGTGTTCTGGACTCCTTTGGCCAAGGCCTCCGTCTGAGTGGGATCTCCAACCTCAGTGTGGACAGCAATGTTTTCTACAACATTTCAGGCCATGGGCTTCTCCTGGGTAAGTGAAGCATGCAAATATCTACATACATACTACATACAACAGCAGCTTGTGCTGGTTCCCATTTGCATGAAAATGCTTTGGAGGAAAGAATGGCAGATCCTTAACTGTGCTCTGAGAACTTAAATCACATCTTCTGCAATTTCTAGTGTCAGTGAATTTGGAATAAAACTCCCACAATTCCACACACAACTCTTAGCAACTACTTCCATTTGACCTGTTCTCTTTCTTCAGGCCAGTCTTTGCTTGATCAGGGTCAATTATTTTTCAGTGGAAAAATAGTAAGTTTTTTTTAGGGGATTTATTTATCTGTCTTTGGAAAAGTGTCATTATGCCATATTTAAGACCACAACTCAGTGAAGCATTTAGGAGAATATTACCTTTAACTTCAGTCATTTGATGTCGAAGATAATGGAATGAAAGCATATGTTAAAAGTTAACCAGAGGATTTAGCACTTAAATAAATCGGAGCTTGGAGCAACAAAAATGTTAAACAACAAAATATTTCTCCTAACTAACCATCAGGAGACTGACTTCAAGAATCTTCTTCTGGGATCCCAGGTTGCCTGAATACCTAAAGATACAGCTCAATTTTTGTTTTCCATAAGAGATGGGATAAAAATGACCAATTATGAGATAAACAGAGGGGAAAGAAAGAAAGCCTTCAATTCTGATCCTACAGTTCCCCCCACACAGCAAGTTCTTCTGCTGGGTGCTATGTGTAAACATAATGAGGAGTGATGTATCATGATTTAAAAAGGGAAGATGATAAATCCAATGTGGTTATGCACACCTTGCAGGTGAAGAGAGCTGGCTCAGAGAGATGTGAGGATTTGCCCAAGCTGATGTACAGAGCCCTTGCAGCCATGGGGAAGCAGAGCAGAACCTCCAAGCTTCTGGCATTCCTTGGCTCATTCGTGTTGGGATCTGTGTCTGCGTTAAAGGACTCAGAGCTGAGCTGAAGTTTCAGCCTGAATACACCTTATCCTCAATATACTTTTAATGGTTTCACTGTCAGCAGCTCCAGAGGGTCTGATGGATTAATTTATATATAATTTTGTTGCCTGCAAAGGAATATTTATTACAGCTGGCTCTTTGCAGCTCTGGAATTGGATTCTCTCAGCGATTTCACCTAAAATCCTTACTTTTAGAAGGTTTGCAAGACTATCAAAAAATGTCACTCTGGGCTTAAAATTATTGACACACAAACTTGAAAGCCAAAACCTTAAAATCCTGTATGGCTGTCAAAAGGACTTCTTTAGGATCTTGTTCATGCTCTAGTAGTAGCATTGTTTGTAGTACATACAGACTGGAAAAAACTGAGAAAGCTGATTCCCTCAAAAGACTGAGGGAAGGCTAAAAGTATTTGTTGCTATCCTGAAAACCAGAGGTACAGGTTTTTTTGTCAAGTGGCTTATATTTGGGGTACTAATGATTTGGGAAGGGATCTGTATTCGAAATAGAACCTGAGCAGGTGTATTTGAAGATAATGACTTCTGTTGGATAAACAAAACCAGATGGATGTGATTTGCTCCTATTGTAGGCTGGAGAGAATGGCCTATGCATAGATTACACACAGAATTCCACTTGGTGTTCTGCTTCCAAAAGAGAAGCAGTGTTGATCATAGAATCATGGAGTCATTAAGATTGTAAAAGACCTCCAAGATCTCCCTGGTTCTGGAAGTTCAGCCACTAAACTGACCCTGCCAAGCCCACCACTAAACCATGTCCCCAGGTGACAAATCTCCATGGCTGCAAACACTCCCAGGGATGGTGACTCCACCACTTCCCTGGGCAGCCTGTTCCAATGCCTGACCACCCTTTAGATGAAGAAATCTTTCCTAATATCCAACCTAAATCTCCCCCAGAGCAACTAAAGGCCATTTCCCCTTATCCTATCTATGTATCCTCCTTGCCATTGGGCAGCCAATTTCTTTAAAATGTAGTTTAAAAAAATATTTATTTTGTTTTCTTCTTCCAATTTCTATGCTGTAACTAGATCTGGGGCACCCCAAGAGGTCTGTGTTGTCTGATCAATTGGCTGATTGATTTTTCCCTTTCTCTTCTCCTACTCCATTGCTTAGGGGGGCAACCCCCTCTTTTGTGCAGAGGTGCATCAGGTGTTTTTCAGGTGTTTAGAAATTTTCTTACATGTAAGTAGGGCAGTGAACGGAGACAGGAGATAAAGAAGACTTTGAATTCTAGTAATGCCAGGAGCATGCCTGTGTGTGCATAGGTGAGCCTCTTTCCCACTCTGAACCACTCTGAGCCTCTTTTCTCAACTGTAAATCTGCTTTATAATACACATTTTATTTATTTTTACCATAAAGTTGCAGTCCAGAATATATGATTTGTGGTATAATCACATATAATACCTCGTACAGGGAAATATATGTGAATATAGCATCTGGACTTGTGCATATTGAAATGAGAATCATGATAATAGATACATTGAATCATGATAATATGAATAATGAATAATATGTACATTTATGTTTATTTTTCTTTTTTCTTCCTCTTAGTTTTTAGTTTTTCATATTTTTTTTTCCTTTTCTTCATATCTCTTTCTTTTAAAGGTGAGGGACTGGAAGAGGAGAACAAAATTAGTAACAACATAGTGATTGGTCTTTCTGTAACTGATGGTTTATCCAATATTGAGGCACTGTCACCAGCAGGGATCTACATCAAGGCTCCTGCCAGCCACATCAGGGTAAGAAGTTCTGGTTTTAGACATAACATTTCCTTTCTAATCAAAGGTATCAGAAAGACACAGAGCTTCATTTATCTGGGAGATCACATACACAATATTTGCTTCTTGGCTGAGCTGTCAGAACTTGTGCTTGTGATGGGATATTGAAACAAGTGCATATTACAAAATAAATTATGTTCCTAGGTAAATTTATTACTAAGAATTTTGCTGTATTTGAGTGGAATGGAATATTACAGTGAGAGAATTCATCCTGAGGTACTTTAAAATGTTGTTTTATTTTATAATGCTCACAGATTCAGAAAACTTGGAAAAAGTTTAGTCTCAGCTTCTCTAGGATTTCTGCCATGATTAAAAAAAAACCCTCAATTTTAATGGACTGACTACAAAACCACTAAAATTCAGCAGCATCAATTACACCTCTGTCTGGATTTAAAACCACATTGACCATACAGATGAAGATTTGCATTCTGGGGTGAGGAAGAAGATGTGTTCCCTGTCCTATGAAAATGACATTGATTTTGAAAGAAACTAAGCTTCTCTATTCTAAATGGCAATAAACCACCAGATTTTTAAAGAGAACAGCCACACACCAAAAAGCTGAGCTCAGAAAAAATACTTTTATTCACTAATTCTCTGATGCTTTCTCTTAGTTCATACTCTTTTTTTGGTCTTACAGAATAAAGAGTCACTTTTACGTGTTTAGTGGAAAAATATGATTTTCATCAACTTCAAACCACTTTTCCTTCACAACTATTTTAAGAAATTACATTGAAACTGACCTTTCTTACTAGACTTTCAGTAGTGAAAAATGCATATTTTCATTTAAAAAATAATCCTAACCTGTTCTATTGTCAACCCCCAGTAACCAAACCAATTACTGTTTGTGAAGACCTAATCACCCCCGGGGCCTCTGCTCCATGAGGAAAGATTTACAACTAAATTTGAAGGTGAAAAAAGAGAACCACACATTTCCTATGTTTTTATGAAGACAGGAGCACCGAGGAAGGAGAACTTTTCTGCAGTTCCCTCTAGGCCATATTTATCATTTTTAAGGCCATCAAATATGATTTTAAAATACAACAACTAGGCAGAATCATGAGAATTTCAGCTCCACTAAGCACAGAGTTTTGTACTGTCATGCACTGACTTACCCTGGAGCTGTTCACTCCATCGCCAGTGGCTCAGCTTTTGAAAAGCTTTTCTGCAATTACCTCCACGGGTTCCTGGGAACTGGCTGTGCTGGGCTTTCAGCACATTTATTTATCTCTCTCTGCTCACGTGAGTTTGCAGATATAAAGCTACAGCTGTGGCTGTGCACCCCAATATCAGGGGGTCCTTTCTGCTCTCCAGAGATGTGCTGCTCCAGGCAGGGTAGCAGATGGCCCTCAAATGGTTGCTGATGACCTTCATCATCTAGAGGAGTGGAATATCTGAGGGATCACAGCAGCAAAAGGAAGACGTGAAGAAGTTGCCTGGCTTAAAATTGTTATTAACAGCATTTACTGTACAACAGGACCAAGCAGTGCTCAGGAAGGCAGCAAAGCACAGGGATATTAAAAGAAAAAGGTCACATTTCTCCCTGGCAAAAGAACTGGTGACTTTTTCTAAGTGCAATAATGATCACTAAATTCCAGGGGTGCTGGTGCAGCACCAGCATTATGATGCTGTAGACTTGGCACCTTTTCTCTCATGAAAACTCTCAGATCAAACGACTCAAGCTTTTTAGGAATATATAATCCTAGTTTATTTAGCTTAATGAATCAATCTTTTTAGGTATTTATAATCCTAGTTTATTTATCTTCAAACTTCCATTTTAAGAATGTAATGGGAAAGACTCATCTTCCATCTGCCTGGTTCTCAGGCCAGAACATACAATAGAAATTTTCCCAGTTAGGATTTAATTTTAGGTGTTTGTCAGTCTTTTTGGTTATTGGTTTTGTGTTTGTTTGTTGATTATTTTCAGATTTCCATCTTTCGGCTACTGGTTTTAATTTATTGGCTGCAATCTTTAAGGCAGGGACTGCAGAGAGCTCTAGGTCCAAACTGTGTAACATCTTCTGTGCATGATGAGTTAAGCCTTTCCACAGCGAGACCTACAGTAATGTTTTCATAACTAGTCAATTTACTTGGGAGCTTAAATTTGCATCGGTGGCTGAAGAGCTTAAATTTCCTTGAAATTCAGTGGTGGCCTAAACGGTGTGGAAATTGGGACAGAGCAGTCACTCAAACTGAGCCTACAAAGACATTTGGAGACTCAAGTCCCACTGGTTTCCATTTGATTTAAGCTCTTAAGTGCACTGATGAATCAGGCTGTTAGACGAAATTTCATACTCGGATGGTATGAGTGCAAACTGATTATTACAAGGTCAGTATAATTTTTTTAAACACAGTGTGTAAGTCCAGGTTACCACTTTTTAATGTCATGGACAATCTCATTAGCAGGCTGGTTTCTTGACTTTTAAATGCTATCAGCACAAGGAACTGAAGATGCTCCTCTGTTATATGGGCTTTTTCCTCACTGAAACATCCACCCTATGTCCTTGGTTTTCTTTTTGTGTGCAGGAAAAATAATTTAAAAATTAGGTTTTTATATTTTTATATTGTCTCTCTTGGGCCTGGTGAGTTTTGGCTTTTTTGTTGTTCCAATCCATAAACATTTGATGCCCTGAAATGCCAGAGCTGGCATGCGGTATTCATGCATAACAACATATGGACTGGGTTTAAGAAATCCAGCAAGAACCTCCCTTTCCTTTCTTGCCTTGGTGTTGAGGACTGGGAAACAGCTCAGATGAATGAATGGGGTGGAGCTCAGCTGGTGTCTCCGTGTCAGAGGAGTGACTGATTGTCACACTGTTGGTAAATGCATTTGTTTCCTAGTGTCACCCCATCTAGCCATTCTCCAGAGCATCAAAGAGGTGAAGCTGCATCTGTTTGGCACCATTTCCCCACTGTTTCATCCCTGCTTTTCCAAACCCTTTCCTGCCAAGTGGACCCACACCAAAACAGGCACATTGTGAGTACTACTCACATCCTGCTCGGCTCTGAAACTGTGAGAGCAGTGCTGGGAACACTGTCCAGAGCTTTAATGTCAACTTTAAGGTCAACAGTTTGAGTCCTAGCTATCTAAATGAAATTCATGAAATATTTACACCATCAGAGTTGTACGGTTAAGAGACACTTAAACCGTCAGCCACTTGATTTTACTGACTTGCAGTGCATACCTCCAGGTTTTTGGCATGCTCAGGGAGGTAATTTCTCTCTGGAATTTTGGTTGCATGGACATTCGTAATATACTGACTTCCACAAAGAATTGATTTCCACACAAAATTCCCTGCTTGCCTAAAACCTCTGCCTCCAGCCATGAGCTGGCTGAATAAATATCCAGGCTTTTTTTTTTTTTTTTTCCTTATGAATCATCTGTAGAACGCACGATTGGAGTCGCAAGTAAAATATCCTGGAAATGATGTGACTGGATTGCAGAAGTGTTTTATTAAAGAAAAAGGTTCTGTGGCTGCACTTTCAGAAAAAGCAGCAGTTTTACCAGGGGATAGAGAAAGCAGAGCTCTGGGTCTCAGTACTTTATTCCTTGACAGATGTCAGAGATCAGGACTTCAGGGAGCACACTTGGATGGGTCAGAAGAAAGTAATTGGTATATGGAGGGTTTCACCTCGAGGTCACCAGGCTCAGCTTTGATTTGGACCATCAGGGACCAAAAAGTCATTAGTATTTTAACACTGTCCAGCGACATATGAATGGGAGTGGTGATGGCAGACCTGATCTTAGAGAACAAACCCTCCTTAGAGCTGCAAGAAAGGCCATCTTGGACCCCCCTCAGAGAGCCACAGACCTCTAGAGAGCAATTAATTTTGTCTAAGGACAGACCAAAAGAATTGCCTTCTGCACATGCCATGTCTTAAAATTTACCAGCCTGGACTTAAAATTTTCACACACCTAAGGCAGGTGAGAGGAGTCATGCGCAGGTGCACACATGAAGACGTTGCTATATGGACACAGCCCAAACCCAATTAGGCTTGGCTGCTCTCCAAATCAACCTGGCAAGACCAGGTTTTTTATCCTAGAGTCGTAAAGTTCAGAACACACCAAATGCAACTCATATAATATAATTTTAAGTCCAGTCAGACCTTATGTCCGCTTATTTTTATTATTTTATTATTTGCAGCACAAATAATGTAACTCAAGCGCAGAATTTAGAATGCAATTTCTTTAAGAGATATTAAATGACCATAACTTATAGTACATCTTCCTATGAATGTTCACTTACTCTGTAAAAAAATATCCAAACCACATAATTTACCACAGGTGTAAGAAAGTTTAATTGTTCAGTCAATGACATATCCTGAAGATTTTGTTCTTTACTTTCTCTTGACTTTCAGGAGTCTCACTTTTTCAATGCAAATATTCCCTTTGTTTCCTTGTCCCATGTTTGCTTTGGGAGATAAGAGAAATATTGAGACTAAGAAGAAAACCAATAAACTTGATTAGTTTGTGATTTACCTTTGTGATTAGTTTGTGATTTACTTTTCCTTCCTGACATGTTCATATATAGAAAAGAGTTTGTAGATGTGAGTTTTCAATAAATTTTTTTCTTGCCTACTTCTTGAAGATTTGTGACAACACCATTTTTCTGACATTTATCTCTATTGCTTGGTTAATCTTCCTTGTCTGGTGTAAAAAGAAGTATTTTTACAACTGGCCCAAAGTCAAAGTGAAAACAGGACAAGACTGGGGATGCAGAGAGGAGACACCATCTCCACCAGCCGGTTTACCAGAATTTGAATGGACTACAGCTGGGATTTTAAGCTGTGTGTTTCTTAAATTGATTTTAATTTCCAGAAATCTGTGGTAATATTATTTTTATAGTCACATATATCTCTCTACAGGGTAACACAGTGTATGGTGCTGGGTATGGCTATTTCTTTCATCTCTCCCCTGAGGGACCATCCAAAGTGCCTCTCCTGTCCTTCAGTGGGAACACAGCTCACTCCTGCACAAGGTACTTGGGGAATTTGGTTAAAGACATTTCCCTTCAGCAAATGGTTGTGCCATCTATAATTGCAGTGGTGGGCAGAAAAGGCCTTGCCCCTCTTTCCAGGACTATTCCCCCCAGTTTTGCACACATTCAGGTCCTTGTTGCTTGCAAGCAGAGTTGTCTGGAGCAGGGCAGAATCAGTGTGGGAGGTGTCCCTGCCTATGGCAGGGTGGTGGAATAGGATGATCTCTAAGGTCCCATCCAACACTCCCTGATCCCATAGTTCTGTGGCAAAAGTTTTAACCAGTACTTCCCAAAAACAGAAAGAGAATTTAAAAAATGACATCATACTGACAATCAGTGGTTAAGGCGACCTGAAATTTGAGTTAATCTGGATATGAATCTGGATTTTAAATCTCTGAGAAGGTCAAACCAAATGCCGCATTCAGGAATGCATACATTTTGGCTGTAATCCAAATTAGCTGAATCCAAGATAAAGAAGAACCTTATCTGTCCATATCCATGTCAGGCTTACCTGAAGGTGACACTGGCTGAAAACTCATGAGCATGGACAGGTGTTTGGTAGTGAGAATCTCTCAGTGGCACTACACACTCCTTTTTAGCTCTGATAGGTCTAACACTGAAAACTTTTGACTTTGCTTTTAAGAAATAAAGACAACTGTTACAGATTTAAGGTTTTAGATATCAAAATGATGAATAGAAGAATCTGCTCACCAGTTCATGCACTGTAAAGGAACAGTGTCCATGGCTCTCTCTCCTAAACAGGCACGGGTTGCTGGTGTACCCAGAGTATTTGCCAGACAGTCATGTTCAGTTCAACAACTTCACATCCTGGAGCTGCCAAGGGGGAGCACAGGTATGTTTGTCTCTGCTGCCTTCTGTAATGCTCAGGATCTTTCCAAGTATCTCACCTCCATACTTGATTGTCTAAAAGCTTGACTGACTAAAAGCCCTTGTGCTTTTCTGTCCATGGGCCTCACCTGGAGGCTCCTGTTTTAATGAAAGAGCAAGCAACTTGATTTCTCTGAATTCTTTTTGCTTCAGAATCAGTGCTACTTTCACCAGCTGGTGTTCTCTGCAATCATCTAGCATCTGTCTGCCACTGCAATCATGGAATTTTAGAATGGTTTGGGTTGGATGGGACCTTAAAAGCCATCTAATTCCAACCTCCCTGCCATGGGCAGGGACACCTTCCGTTAGATCATGCTGCCAATTAAAAAATTCTCTAAATATATCTGAGCTGTTCATTAAGACCATAGATATATTACTTTTATAGAACTGACGGTTTCCATGAGATATTTTTTTATTCTTCTTAAAATTTTGCACTTTTTATTTATTAGAATTTGTCTAGCTTTGTTCTCCAGCTAATATGACTCACTATTAATTAATCTGACTTTTAAAAGCCACACCACCCTTTATTGTGTCATCTTTTTTCCCATAGTCACAGTTTGGAGCCTGTGATCCTATTAGTTCCTGTCTGATGACCTGAACATTTTGTATTTGTTTCTCTGTAAGGTTTTATAGCCTCACCCATCTCTATGACTCTTCTTCTGAAGGTGTCCAATTTTTCAGTGTGATTTTTCAGGCTGATGTGTACCCTTTCTGGAAAGGCTATTTGTATGAAAAGAAGGGTGATTTGTAGGTTTGTTGTTGTTTATTTTCTCTGCATAACTTGTAATTTCTTTGTATGTGATTGACCTAGAATTCATAAATAACTAAGTTTATTCTTCTTTTTTCCATGGCGTCTCTTTAGAAACAATCTTTCTTTTAGGTGCTCCATTCCAGAAATGTTCAAAGCTGGGTTGGGTGGGGTTTGGAGCAATGTGGGATAGTGGAAGGTGTCAGTGCCCATGGCAGGGGTTGGAACAAAATAGTCTTTAAGGCTCCTTCTAAGCATTCTATTATTTGATTATGATATTTAGTATATTTTTATTTTTCTTTCATGTAGATTTTCAGTAGCAGGAACCTTGAACTCCAGCATTTCTGGATTTCTGCTTGCAAAGACTTTGGTATTGACATTGTGGAAAGCCTGGGAAACACCTCTGTGTCTGATAGTGTTTTAAATGGACACCTTGGGCAAAAGGTAAGAACTGCAAGGAATTTCAATGTCTCTTAAGTCTCACAGCAACGTTTCAATAGGAATTTGGAGAAAAAAAGAAAGCAACCTGGAGAACAGCCCCTGCTCCATGGAAGCTTAAGAAAAACTTGGATTTCAAACAGGTTATAAGGGAATGCCCTCAAGTGGCACCAGTGAAGGTTTAGACTGGATTTTGGGGAAATATCTGCACTGAAATGTTTTCAAGTGTTGGGACAGACTGCCTAGGGCAGTAGTGGAATCACTTGGAGGGTTTTAAAATCCATGTAAATGTTGGCACTTTGGGACATTTTTTTGTGTTGGCCTTGGCAGTGTTGAGTTGATGGTTGGGCTCTGTGGTCTTAAAGGGCTTTTCCAACCTAAGCAGTTCTACAGGTTTTTGGGTTTTTTTTCCAGCATCTTTTCATTTCAGCATGGAAGTTTTAAAGATTTTTTTAAAGCAGATTTGAAACAAGGATTATGTTTTTTCTATTTTCATTAGAATCTATTACAAAATTTCACACTCTAAGGCATAGTCCTGTATGTTCTTTCTAAAACAAGGTTCAAAACTGGAAGCAAAATCACAAACACAAAAAGCTGAAGGATCTTAGCAAGACAAGTGCAATTTTTTTTCTACTCATATTTTATTTTCCAGGGTTGATATGGTCTCAGAAATATCTTGGTATTTTACCAGACCTTACTTTTTGAGCAAAATCATTATTTTTCTTTAATAAAGCTTTTCAAACACAAATTCCTATATGCCTTTTGCATTTAGCACAATTTAAGTATGCACAAGTGGATTTAGTTTAGTGATTTGAGAATACTGAGGGGGAACACCAGCTTTGGTTTCTATCCTTGTTAACACTTTAGTTTCCTCTGCTCTCTCTCAGCATCGCTGTTCCACCTGGAACACAGAGTTACATTTTTTACTTCAGAATGAAAAACAATGACAAAATGTAATTTTATTTATGCAGTAAATACGTTCTTCTCACGCTATTTCTTTAGGCAGCTGAATGAAATCCTTTGGGGTGCTACCAGGTTGTTAACAGATTAATAACATGGATAACAATGGAATTTTAGTTACAACTGGCCGCAGAAGCTTGTTCATGATTTTGAGGTCTTTTTTTTTTTCCCTGTTCAGTTTTCTATTGTTGTTCATTAAATTAATTTTCTCTCTGACTGGCAGAAAAAAAAATATTTTAAATGAGTTTTCTTTAGAAGCTCGCAGAAAGGAACCTCCTTAGCAGGTCTATTCTAAGTAGATGGTTCAGATAAAATTCTGGCTTCACCTGTCCAACCTTGCAGTGTGCCAGTGGTGTCCAAGTGAATTTCTCTGACACCAAGGGTTGGGTGTCTTTGTTTTTGCTTTGCAGGATCCATGGAAGGGCTCCAATGTTGTACTTGCTAAGAGATTTAGAGGCGCTCACGCTGTGCTTTGTTTCTTGCAGTACCTCAGGGGCGTGATTATCTTTGATTATCTCATGATAAGAGCCTCCTTGTCATAATTTACATCTTAATGTATGTAATTCTCCCTTTAATAATGATGTCTCTTTAATATCAATTAAAACTTTATGGCATTAATTTAATGGGAACCTTGGATATTCCTCTCTGTTAGCCCTTCCACTTTTTGGAAAAATATGTTTTCAAAACAAGATTGTTTTCTGGAAATATCAGGGCATTGAAAAGTTGGGGCTTTGACCCATTGAAACATTAGTGACAGGGCTAAATCCAGGACTGTAAAAGTCAAAATATTTTTGTTAACTTCCTAGACATTCAGAAAGCCTCCTCCATGTTCACATTAAGCAACTCATTGTCTTTGTGGAACTATTTAAGGACAAGCATTTCTTCCTGGAAAAAGCATCTGAGGCATACAAGGGAGAATTATTGTCTCACACTGGTCTATTTGCTATTTGTTTAAATAAAATTAATTAATTTGAAAATATAGAAAATAATATGGGCTGGAAGAACCAGAAGTGTAAGAAAAAAGCCAATAGAGATGTTTTGAGCAATTTGTTACCAGAAACCAGGGATTTCTGCTTAGCAGTGACTTGGAATAGGATGGCCCAAGGACCAGGACTATCACACCTGATGTTTTGGCCTGAGAATAAAATAGCTGATGGAACTACTGTGTCTTAAAAAGATTGAAGATAGCACCTTCTCTTTGAAGTAATAATCTACTTATAAGAGTCCATTACATTCTTTCTTTTCAACTGCAGGTGTTTTCACATAGGGTGGATTTCTTGATTGATTCTTTACTATGGCTTTTGAGATATATTCTACAAGTATTCATTGGCCTCAGAAACAGTATCACAGACTCCTGCCAGCCCTTCTTCCTCCAGGCTGCTCACTAACTCTATTTCCAGCCCATTTTCAAGGGAGTTTGGCAGAGGGTTGTACACTTCCACCACTGTGCCATGGACTGCAATCATCCCAAAATCCAGTTTGTCAATTTTGTTTTTCATCTCCCGTGGCTTTTGTTCTTCCTTTCTGATTCTTTAAATTCTAACAGACCCTGAAGTCTTCTAGAGATTTTCAGAGAGCCTGTCTTGAGTGTGTCCCCATGCCAAATCACACAAAATCCCTTTGAATTTCAGTGCTCAGATTTTTCTTAGAACAGAATGGTCATCTTTGCAGAGTAGGAAAAATTTGCACTTGCTGGACAAAAATGGTAAAGTAAAATGGGGATGTAAAAATCCACACACTGTGGCTTTTAGCTGGTTTCCTTCTCCCCAGGAAATGTCCAGTCATAACTACTATGCAACAACTCAAAGGGTAACAAGCTGCCCTTAAAGTGATGCTATCACCTGCTTCAAGTGGGGAATCAGATAGGTGTTGTCAGAATTTGCCAAACAATAGCTTACATCTGTCCTTTAAACTCCACAATTATGGGCAATCCCACTCTTGCATTCCCAGCCTCTGCATCCTGGATGCTCCATTTCTGGAAATGTTCATGGACAAGTTAGACAGGATTTGAAGGAACCTGGTCTTTTGGAAGATGTCCCTGCCATGGCAGGGGGTTGGAATGAGGTGACTTTTAAGGTCCTTTTCCACCCAAACCATTCTAGCAGTCTATGATTCACATGGTGATATTTCCTTCATTTCTTCACTTCAGGATAGGACCTGTATGTCTGCAGGACTAAAGACTCCCAAAAGATACCAGCTCTTCATCTCCAATACAGCTTTCAGGAACTTTAATGTGAGCACTTGCACAGCTATCAGGACTTGTTCTGGCTGTTACCAAGGGCAGGGTGAGTCTGATTTGTATTTATTTCTCAGGATTCCCAAATCCTTAGCTTCCCCTCCAATTACATGTTCATAGTTTTCACATATGACACTGATAACTCCTCTGCACGGGCTGAGATTTCAGGTTCTCCCCAGTCTTTCTGGATATGGCTTCATCAGTCAGTTGACTTCATCACACATATTGCATTTATTTTAAGACAAACATAGCCTGATTTTTGCACTGATGCAGTTTTCTCAGTGGAAAAAGGTTTTATACACTGCCTTGTTTCTGCATCTTCATTTTGAGAGGTAAAATTTCAAGAGTGATGATTTCTTTAAAACCTGTGACACAACCTTGCAGAATTTCACCAAACTGCTACCTCAGGCCAGCCTAAACCTGAGGTGAATTTGCCTAGGGTAATGCATAAACTAAGCATCCTTCTGAGCTTTGAAGAGGTACTCAAAGGCTCTTTGAAGAATGTTCCAGCTGCAACTGCCTTTTGCATTGTAATAAAATGTATTTATATATAAATGAAGACTGCCCTACAATAACATAGAGGAGAAAAAGGTTTCAGGAGATGAGATCAAAGGACAGGAGGAATAGTAAAATCTGGCTTAGTCAGGCTAAAACTGGGAATAGGACAGTCAAATAGTAACCCATGTGTTGTAGGGCACTCCTGCCAGAGCTGACTTGTCCATGGGGCAATGATTTTCTGACATTTCTGTAAATATTAATGCGCACATAAACTTTAGCCTGCATGAATATTCATCTTTTTTTGTAGCTATCTTTGTTACAGTTGTGAAAAAGTCCTCCAGACTCACTTCTCAGCCCAGGCTTTATTCTGTCAGGTGCTGCAAATACACACAAGAATCAAGTACATTTATACCACATACACACCTCTAAAAAAAAGACAGACAGGATCTATAAGAGTCTATAAGTAATTTTGCCTGTGGGGCCTGTGAAAAAGTGTTTTAATTCACTGAGGAGATGCTGGCAGGGCCAGGAGCAGCACCTGGATCAGGTGAGTCTGAACCACAGTCACAGCAGGGTACTGGGCAAGTTTTGTCTGGCACAGCAATTGCTATTCCTACAACCATCTCAATTTATTTTCCTGCATCTCCCTGTTCTTGTTGACCCATCAGACATTTTTCCAAAGGCAAAGTGGAGTGAAGTTGGTCTCTTTTCCTCCAGAGAGTTGTCTTCAGGCCCATTACATGAAGTGACCATTTTGTTTTTTTAAGATGCTGCTTGTCACCCACAGGTGGGTTTACAGTGACAGCTGAACATCTGACCTTCACCAATTCCCCTTTCCAAGTGTCCTTCCCCTTCCCTCACTCTGCCATCCTTGAGGACCTTGACGGCTCCACCACAGGACAGAAGGGAAGTCACATCCTGCCTTCCACAGATATCCTGGCTGCATCCTGCACAACCAGTGCCAACTTCAGCCAAGCTTCTGGTGGCAGTGTCTGTGACAGTGACCTTGTTTTCCACCGTATGGCTCTTCATTTGTAAGTAATTGTCCCACCTCCCAAAATACAGCATGGGTTTTGCTTCTGAGTGTTATTCTGAGATTGCTGCTGCTCTGAGGTCAGTCCCAGGACTGCTGCCTCTCTGCTTGGTCCTAAACTAAAGAGATGTCAGTGGCATCTATTAATCTGCTGTGCTATCTCCCCTGGCCTGTCACTCCATGGCAGAAGGACAAGGATCTCCTGGAGATGCTGTGTCAAATCTGACATTCACACTGAAGTATTTGATAGCTTGGGAAATTAGAAAGAGCTCTAATAATAATCCAGTCCTGGGGTACAGCCACATCATTCCTATCACCTTTGGTGGCTGGACAGTTCCCAGTTCACTTGTCTTCCCAAGCTGGAATTTTCCCTGCCCTTCACCAGCTGGCAGCTAAGGGGATCCAGTGGAGGAATGCTGTTCAGGCAAGAACTGCCACAACTTCTATCACAAAGGGAGGATGCTTGCAAATTTCTGACATAAGAAAAAGGGTGAAAAATACTTTTAGAGATCTAAATATCACTCCTGCTTTTCTTGCCATGCTCATTTTCCCTTCCCAGTCCCCTGCTCAGTATTTCCCTCTCCTTTTGAAGTAAAACTCTGAACAATTATCCACTTTTTGCCGTCTCAGGTTAGTAGTACACCAGCAGAAATCCTGAAGTGCTCTGTCAGAGGGCTGTTAATTATTCATGTCTGTCTCATAATTAATGTTTTAGAATTAGGGGGGGGGAGAACCTCAACCCCTTCCCAAACAGGAAGAAAACTAATCAGCTTTTCCATTGAAGGAGAAAACGATAAGACTTTGAGTTACCTGGAGGCTTTGTATGTGATTACTGTGTCTTGTAATGAAACCAAAAGTCTGCAAAAATTTAAGGGCTTGGAGTAATTCTGATGTAACTAAAAGAATAGTGGGTAGAAGGCAAAATAAAACTGCTTGGTGTCTTTCCTGAGCAGTTAACCATGAGGTCTTGGGGAAATTAATTCCCTTTCTAGTCTGTGTTTACCTTGATGGAATGGGCTGCAAGATTTTTGGGCTGATGCTGTGTGGGTGGATGGAGCTTCTCTAAATGTTACCTGTAGAGTGATTTGGGTCCTGTAGAGTGATTTGGGTCCTGCAGAGTGATTTGGGTACTGCCATGATGTAATTGTTAATAATTCATGACAGTTAAGATATTTAATATACCTTGTTTCTCCTGGCATCAAAAGGTGGGTAAGGAACAAGCACAAGCAGGAGTTCATCTGCACCATTGCTGTTAACTCTGGGAGACTTAACCGGACCTAAATTTTGTCTTTCCAGCAAACTGCATGAGAATTTCCCTGGAAGTGCTCAAGACTAGATTAGACAGGGATTGGAGCAACCTGATCTAGTAGAAGGTATCTCTCCCCATGGCAAGGGGTTGGAACTAAATGAGCTTTAAGGTCTCTTCCAATCTAAATCATTCCAGATTCGATGATTAGTCATATCAGTGACTTCTCAATGAAGGTTTTATTTCATGCAAGTACCTTTTATTTACCTTCTTTATGATTGGTCTGCATGAGCTGGGAGTCAATTTGCATCAAAGATTCTTGGCAGTCTGAGAAGAAGAAGCCAGCTGTTAGCCTGTCCTCCTGAGGACTGTGTACTCAGCAGAGTAACCCCAGGGACTGTGAGCATCCTCTCTGTGCTGCTTCCAGATCCTCTCTCCTCAGCAGCTCCCAGCAGCCAAATCACCGTCACGTTAAGTTGAAAGACTGTCAGATCCAGCCAAATGAGTGTGGTGAGTCAAGAAGGCTTTGTTCAGATAGATAGAGCTCCAAAAGGAACCTGGAAGAGGACCAGGATGGGGAATAAAAGGAGCTGGAGGGGATGAGGAGTAAAAGTCATTAAAATATCTACAGCATGACCAGAGGATGAGGGGGCGGGAGAAGAAGAATGGGTGAATTTTGTCCAGATGTATTTGGAGAGTGTTTGCAATAAAAAGGGAATAGTTTGGTATTAACACAGCAAAACATGACTAGGAGCAATTGGCAGAGGTTGAGTAAAGAGAATAAAGATAGGTGAGTGACAGGCAAAAATTTCCTAACAAGTTCCTCTTGGATTAATCTCACCACAATAAAAAGACAAAAGCACTGCTGCTTAGCTATCCTTAGTTTCTGTCAAGAAAAGAGTTAAAAATCTCTCTGGAAGAAATCTTTCTATTGTGCTCTACCAGGCCACGGAATAAGAGACCTTTCAGGTCTGCAACATGAATTTTCTGTGCTCCTCAAAAAAAAGCATGAGAGCCTTGAGATGGTGGTTTTTTTCACTTATCCTAAATTTCAGGGATGGGATTCCAGCTCCAAAAATCTTGAAGGTTGAGGCAAATAATGGAGTTTAAGAGGGGAGACTTAGTATGACAACGTCTATCTCACCAACCTCAGGAGGAACTGGCAAGGATTGGACATGGCCATATTTGTAACCATCTCAGTCTCCAAAACATCAGGGATATTGCATAATCATTAACCTTTAGGAAAGATCCCCTGCCTGGGAGCTGTCAGGGATAGGGCTGTTTTGTGCCAGCTAAAAGAATATCTGGAACAATTTTAATTATTACTCATACAATGTGGGCAATTGACTCTTTATCTTTGTGCTGTTTAATTTACCAAGATGCATGTGTTGTATTGACACTTTTCCCCAAAATAAACTATGTGTCTGGGAGAAAAAGAGTGTTTTGTTACAGAAAAAGTATGGAAGCTCTTTTCTGAAAAGGAGAACTACTATTTTGAACATTTTGTGACTCTCTGTCCTGAACTACTTCACTTAACAACTTCCAGGGAAATGGGGATCCATTTCCAAGCTAGCACTGCTGTAACAAAACCCTTCAACACAAAGTCCAGTTGAAAGTTAAACTAATGTGTCACGTAAGCACACTTTAAAGAGGGGTTTTATGTCTTTTAAAAATGTAATTGGACCTTATAAAAGTCTTTATAAATTTATATGTGAGAAAGTTATTGAGTAGTCTGAAGCACAGCTTATGCTATGGCACAGCACAGCATGGCTGCAGGCTAGAAACGGCTGCTCCAAATGCCACCACTACCCATATTATCATGAAACTATGAATCTCTATTAATATTAAAACAAATTTTCATTAAAAAATTGTCATAACATGATTAAGTGACTTTCAAAGTTTCTTCACATTATGCATAATTTTTACAAGAGGAGAGCATTAGAATAATCTGCAGCCTGGCAGCACCTTGCGGCCAAGGGGACTCCAAACACTTGGTGGCTGCGTCTGCCAAAAGGGAGTTTCCCTCTTGGTGCCTCTAATTTGTTTTCCTTTTCTCACTGGGGAAGCCTTGGACTTGCTCAGCACCAGTCTTGTAGTTCAAGCCTTTTATTGTCTCCCTCTTCTGATGCAGAGCAGAAGATTAACATTTTAGGTTTCATTCCTAAGTCAGCTCTAACATCCTCTCTGTGTGATGCATTTCTGCTGCAAACCCAGCCACTGCTGATAAGTTGGTGTCCCCCTGCCTCTGTGTGTTTGAATTGTGAAGAGAGTTCAGATGGTTACTCTAGTTTTGCTTTTCCTTTGATATTTACTCTCTGTGATGCCTAAAGCTGAACGTCTCCTTGCTGTGAAACACCCTGACAACCACGATTCTTCTCTCAATGTCCTCAGTCACTCTCTGGCCATGTGTCCTCCCCATGTACATGATTGTACCCACACATGGGTACAACACAGTCAGCTTACACAGTCACTTGTCCCCAAAACACATCCTCTGAGGGCTCCTGTGATGTAACATGGAAGGCAAAGATTAAATTATTGACTGTTCTGTTACCAACTCATCAGCTCAGCTTTAGAGATTCAGCTTTTACTCTGCTGCATTTCTGGCATTTCAGACATCCCACCAAGAGAAATTTGTTTCCCAGTGGAGAACACCTTTCCATTCACCCTGCAGGCAGGGGTGCGGGCAGCAAAGCCAGATCCTGCACAGTGTTATGAGTATGCAAGACAAGATATTTCTTTAAGCCTCTTCCCAGCTTGATCATCATCGGAGGTATTTCTAAGTGCAGGGAGATAAATTTAGCATTGAGGCAAGGTTTGCTGGCCCTAAGCTTTCTTTTCTGGCAAGGAGAAATCTGGTAAGTCTGTTGGATGGTTCTTATGAGCCAGGTGCATCAGCTGGGACTCCCTGTAATAACCAACATATTGATCCTAAAAATCACAGAATGGTTTGGGTTAGAAGGGACCTTCAAGATAATTTAATTCCACCCCTTTCTATGGCAGGGACACCTTCCACTACCCCAAGTTGTTCCAAGCCACATCCAACCTGGCATTGGATGTTTCCAGGGACTCTTCAGAACTCTACCTGATGTGGGAAAAATGGAGTGACCAAGAAGTCCTCCTCTGGTCTTTGCTATGCTCTCACTGCAGATATTTGAACCATTCATTTGTTTACCAATCACTTTCCAACTCAGGATTTCTGTCTGATTTTAGTTTTCCTAAAAACATCACCTTGTAAACTGTAGGATCTGGGGAAATGTTTTAAGAACACAGGGGATTTTGGAAGTCAGGCATAGCAAACTGAAATTCTACTCTGAATGAATCTATCTTGGCTTGTCAGTCACAACCCTTTCTTTCCTGGGAAACCATCTCAATTCTTCTTTTACATAAAATTCAGCCCAGGGTGGTGACTCAGGATCAGGGTCAAAGATCTGGTTATTTCCTAAAAGACTCATGCATGAAAAAAAATTGCTGCTACTAAGGATTCATAATAAAAGACAGATTTGAATAATGAGCTTGGTATATCAACGAAGATACACACATTTAGTAAAAACAGCTGAAAATTCTTAGTTCTTGGCAATTAAAATAAAGTCAACTGGTCTGGGGCCCAAGATTAAACCTGTAAAGTGTTTGATATGGTTATAATTTGGAATTAGCCTCCCTTTGGCCAACAATAAACATGGACTCTTGATATAAACATTTGGTGTCCCATTTGAAGTTCAATGCTAAATTGTTTCCTGTTTTTGAAGAGGGATAATCATAATGGATTATTACACAAACATAAAGCATTTAGAGCTAAACAGAGTGCCTGCCTTCATACACACAGATATGGACCCTTAGGATAAATAAGTTAATGGTAAACATAAACAAGAGAGTTAATATTTGTTCTACTCCATGTTGTTGATTGGCTTAACAAATCCTTTGTGGCTCATATCTGTCGAGCAGTTCTGCACAATGCATTTGAGCTAAATTATATAACAGTTTATACAGTCACAATTGGTGAATTGTGGCTTAGACTGTAAAGCCCTGTTCTGTAATCCTGCCATATTTCTAAAGCAAATTGCTCCTTAATTGAAACCTGCTTCGATATAAAAAATACAGCCTTTACAATGAGTCATCCTTTTTTCCCCCCTTACAGTTTGTAAAGGCTTCCAGCAGTTTAAAGGGGGGGTTAATTTTGCATTAAGACCATTGCCTCCTAGTTTCTTTCAAATAAAGCCAGGAGAAGTTCAGGGGAAGGCTCTCCTCTGATAATGAAGCTCTCCACGTAATGATGCGTGCAGGCTCCCTCAGATCCTCTGAATTAGAAATACTCCTGTGTGCCAGCACTCTTCTACTTCATTAACATTAATGAGAGGTAGATTGGTGGCTATTTAGGGCACAGTGAAATCACTGGCTATTTAGGGCAAATGGAAATGGTGCTAATTGTGGCTGGTAATTCCATTAATAGGGTACTTCTATTTTGGTGCCTTTTTGGCATGGGGGTTAAAAAAACAACACACTGACATCCTTTCAAGGGGATGTATCTCAGGCTTATTGTGTCCTTGCAGTGGTTAACTTGTACACTGAGCTGAGAAGCTTTCTAGGTTCCCCAAATTTTTGGTGTGGTTGTAGGCAGTCTGTCAGGAGTTGGAAATGAATTTATGGGTGGCAACACCTCAAGCAACGCATGTAAAAGACAAGGACACAACATTCCAGGTCAAGAAAATCCTAGAGAATCGAGGCCATAAGATATCTCCTGCTCCTTTTCCTTCCTGGGTCATGAACAGTCTTTCAGCTGGACATGAGCCAGGTGTGCCCAGGTGGGCAAGAGGCCAATGGCACTTGGGCTGTCCTAGCACTGGTGTGTCCAGCAGGAACAGGACAGTGCCTGTCCCCTGTGCTGGCACTGCTGGGACACCTCCAGCCTTGGGGCAGCTCTGGGACCCTCATGACAAGAGGGACATTGAGGGGCTGGAGCGTGTCCAGGGAAGGGAACAGAGTTTGGGAAGGGGCTGGAGCCCCAGGAGCAGCTGAGGGAGCTGGGAAAGGGGCTCAGCTTGGAGAAAAGGAGGCCCAAGGGGGACCTTCTGGCTCTGCACAACTCCCTGACAGGAGGGGACAACTGGGGACGGAGTGTGGAGGTGTGATCAAGCTTTGCTCCTAGGGAACAAGGCACAGGACAAGAGTACATGGCCCTAAGATGCACCAGGAGAGGTTTAGACTGAGTATTAGAAAGAATTTCCTCATGGAAAAGGAGATCAGGCATTGAAATGGGCTTCGTGGGGCAGTGGTGCTCATAACTCTCTAAAAATAAAGTTAAGTCTCCATGCCTAGAAGGATTTAAAACACATGTAAATGTGGCATTTTGGACATGGTTGAGAGGTGGCCTTGGCAGTGTTGGGTAAATGGCTGGACTCAATGATCTCAGAGGTCTTTTCAAACTTAAATGATTCTATGAATCTATAACTTGTCTGTTATAAGTAGACACACAGGAAAAGATGCATTTCACTTCACTGCAGCCATCTGGAAGTTCACTATGCAGTTTAAGATATTTATTTGGGGTCTTCTAAATATTGGTCTCCAACATAAATGGATTCACAGTTAATGCACTAGTCAGTGAATTCACATTCCTATTCACTAGCTGTTGTAGCTACATGGCTGGTGTGGAATTGCCACATAACTTTCTAATGGGTTAGACTTGCATCCCAGAAGGATTGTCCTTTCCAGGCTTTCTTCTCTATCTTTACTTCTCCTGGAAGTACTGGAGAGAGTCCCCCAGTAAAAGTGATTCAAGCTGTTCTCTTCAGAATCCTCTGGCAATGAAAATTAAAATAAATAAAGAGTAAAATCATGTGAATTTATGCTGCAGAGAGAATGGGTCTGAGTGTCTGTCACTTGCTGTGACACTGGGCATCTTTGCAACTCAATAAGACTCCTTCTGATGTGCAAGAGAATTTTGCATTATGTGTGGTGTTCTTCTGCTGCTAGAATACCTGTGCAGGTGCTGATAGCTGTGGCAATAATGTGCTTGTTGTCATTTACTTGCTTAATTAGCAGCCTAATATCCTGGTCCAGTTAATGCCCATAACAGGAGGTTTATTAGTGGTACAAAAGCTGTTTAAGCCTTATAAACTCCTTCCAGTTTCATTGGTCTGCCAATATCTTCTGGTTGAGTGATTCTTTGCTGATTCACACTTCACTTTGCCACTGCTGTTTCTCAGCTGAATGTTTCTGGGTAACCAGAAAGCGCTTTGACAAAGTGACAGACACTAGAATAGCAACAACAACAACAACAAAATTTAAAATCCCTGAACTGATTTTAAAAGAGAAAAGTATATCTGGGATGACTGCTCTGGTGATTTTGCATCATCTCCAAAGCACTTGGATAAAAAAAAAAAAAAAAAAAAAAAAAAAAAAAAAAAAAAAAAAAAAAAAAAAAAAAAAAAAAAAGAGCAAGAAACCAACCAAAAATTGCAAATACTGACAAATTGCAGGATGACATGAGTTTTAGCAGTGTCTTGGGTTAGTAAGCCATATCCAGTCTGAGAGGTTAGATAATATGCTAAGATGTGTAGCTGTAAGATAATGCTTCAAATATTGAGAAATATTATTCAAGGGATGCTTAAAAGAGGGGACTTTTAAAGCTTATTGTCATCTCAAATGCCAAAACTGAGAGGAATCTACTACAACCTTAAATCTAAAGGGTTTATGACTCCTCATGATATCAGTGCTAATGTTGATCTGTTCAATAAGGGTTTTTTCTCCTGACTAGACCGGTCAGAATTTAGGAGGGCCAAGTTCTAGTGAAAAAGGGGGTTGAGTTCTCATTTGGATGCTCAGAAGACCTGCTGTACTAAAAGTTCACCAATTTTGTGAAGAATTTAATCAGCTCTCAGCAGCCCCAGCTTTGACTGCAGGCAGAGACCAGCTCTTTGAATTACACAGGAATTTTTTTGAAACTTTTGACCACTCATTTGGGAGTGAATAATCACAGATTCACAGAATGGTTTGGGTTGAAAGGCATCCTAAACATCACCTCATTCCAATCCCCTGCCATGGGCAGGGACACCTTCCACCAGACCAGGCTACTCCAAACCCCACCCAGCCTGGGCTGAGGCTAATAAGACTCCACCAAATTTCATGAAGATCCTAAAATTTGCATCTGAGGCCCATGAGTCTGGTGGGGGGAAACTACTCTGGCAATGTAGAAATTGGTACCCTGGCTGTTGCCCCTGCTCTACTCTTTTCCTCTTTCTTTACTCCTACGTTCTGCATCTCTCTTTTTCTCTTCTCTTTTTACAGCACTTGGGGCAAAATATTGTTTCTTATGGCATTTATAAAGAATTACAAAAATGGAGACACATTCTAGGGGAGATCCAGCACAGCTACTGTAATTCAAATAAAAATAGAACTGTACAGGCTGCAGAATAACAGAGTTCAATGTAAAAATGTAATTACTTTTTTTTCTTTTCCTGCAGAAAAGAGGCTCCAGACATTCCATATAATTTAACTGTGACTGACAGTAGGAATAAGTCAAACACAGTCAATTATGTCCCTGATACTTTATCAAACCTGCATGGCTGGATGGTTCTTCTCTTGGATAAAGAGACTTACACGTTGACATTTGACAACCCTTTGGTCAGCAAACAGCTCCAGGTAACACGGAAAGGTTTTATAATTTCAAAATTATATCTGGAAGAGGTAATCATGCTTTCATCTCTTTGGATGAACAGAGAGAAAAACAAATAGAGTTAAGTGCACTAAGAAAGTCTATATTTATAGGCTTAGATAAGATGACTGATAAGCTCTCTCTTACCTCTTAGATAAGTTCTCAGTAGTCACCTGGAGCAGGAACGTCATGGAATCATAGAAAGGTTTGGGTTGGAAAGGACCTTAAAGCTCATCCAGTTCTAACCCCTGTCATAGGCAGGGACACCTTCCAGCAGACCAGGTTGCTCCAAGCCCTATCCCACCTGGCCATGGACACTTGATGATTTTGGATCTCTCAGGGGAAAGTTCAATGTGGTGCTTAGGAGCCAACAGGATTTTCACTGCCTTAAGACATGTTGAAGCACAGTTTTCAGAAGACATTGATCCTCCTCACCTTTCAAAGGTGATAAGGGGAGTTGATTTTTTCTGCATTTACCATCACCTCTTGCTTAGTTTTGCATGTCTTTTCCTGTTTTCAACACATATTGCCTCTCAGGAGCACCACCCTCCTTACCCCTTTATGCTGCACTCCATGGAGCTCTAATCACAGACTCAGACATGTTTCTTCTGGTTCCCTCTTCTCTAGTATTCAGTGACATTTAGCAACTTCAAGGCTGGGAATTACCTGCTGGTGGAACACAAGGATCTTCCTGCCTATCTGGAGGCTGTGGTGTCCTGTGGGACAAGGAGGGGACAGTCACTCCAGGTGGTACCTTTGTATGGACACCACAGGAGCTGTGATTGGCATCTTGACAGCAAGCTGGGGACCTTCACCTATCTGGGTAAGTGCAGTGTGGGGGCTGCAATCCACATTTGTGATCAAGAATGGTGAAAGAGCTGATGTCTCGTTAATTTAAACCCCAATGATTTAAACCCCAAATCTACTCAACGCTAGCTTTCAATAGCCTTTCAATAAGTGAGAAGTCCTTCAAAATGCTGATCAAATAGGTTTGTGCACATCAGGTTCATCCCTAACCGATCTACCTGATGCCTGACCTAGCAACAATAGGAATGTACCATAAATAGTGGGTCATGTAGCATCAGTGGTATTTGAATTGGCTTTTTTGAGTGGTAAAGACATTAAATTCCACTAATTACCTCTGCTGTAAGCTAGTCCTACATCACAGGTATCATTAATAAAATGTGGTCATCTTGCTAGGCTGAGGCCGCTGAAGGCAGTAAGATTACTGGGAGAGAATTTTTTTCTAGGGCTGGAAACTTCCAAAGACATCTTAAACCTTTGTCTATGTGACTTTGTACATGAGATCATGGAGTGTGGTGGATTTTTTTTTTTTTTAAGAAATGGATATTTTTAATAATTCCCATTCTCAAGTAAATAATTTTATAAATATTTAAGCTCTATATGTCAAAGGCAAGGTAATGATTGTTGCCTTTATTAATAGCAGCAGAACTAGCAATCACAAGTATATTTTGGTGCCTTTGAGAAGATTAGCTTCTCCTTCATGCCATATACCAGGAAAGTAAAGATGATTATTTTAATTTTAACACATTATTATTCTCTTCTGTTCCATTAAATTTATTAAATTTCTCTTGATTTTGCACTACTGAGATTGCATGCAAATGGCTTTTTCATGTAGGTTACCTTTAGAACAATCATTGTGACAGTGGAGAGGAAGACACGCCTAGAATGAGGGCAGGAAATCCACTGAGCTTGGTCTGGCAACAGCAAAAATCAACCAGTGTGGAAAATCTCATTTGTGGAGAACTGGGGAAACCAAAACTTAATCTCAGTCTGAGGATCACACTTCCTTTGTCCACATCTGGTCCTTCAGCAACTGCCACAGCATAGATTGTATTTAACATTTTAACTCTAAAAATGGGCTGGATGTACGCAGGCTTCAAATTCCAAAAGATCCTTGTGCTTGCTAAATCCCAAACTGTACTGGTGTACTGGGCACCATCTGGGAGTCTGCCTGCTCTAGGCCAAAGCTGTGCCAGGATTTTGGCCAGCATTATAACCATGTAGATTATTAGGATCCTGGTTTTAGGTCTGTGTCCTATTTAAATACAGTTCAAGTGTAGACTGGCTACTGCAAATTTAGCTGTTGTGTCTAAGCCTTACCAGAGATCAAGTCAAGTATTTACTGAAAGAAGAAAAATGTTTTATTATTTCTGATTACTAACAGTATAAATTTGTTCCTTCAAATATAAAAGATGACTGCATTTCAGTTTGCATATCCTGATTTGCACTGTCAGAGCAGCATGGGAAAGCTCAGAGGATGGCATCTGTAGCTTGGCCTCTGCTGTTGAAAATAGAGGAGACGAGAGTCTTGGAAAGACTGGGACAAAAGTGGTCTGGCTGGCATATGTCACTCTTGCATCACAGAGACTTTATTGTCCTTCTCTTGCCTTACTTTCATCTTGATTTTTATTACATGAAGAGCTTGTTGTGGTTCCTCATTTTAATAGAGAGAGAAACAATAATACAACATACATGAGGGGAAATTTATAAAAACACTTAACATGTATAATTCATGCTGTGAACATTTTCTGCGAGGACTTTTATAGGAGTGAGATCAATAATTCAGTGTCAGGTACCTAATATCTGTGCTGTTGGTGTAGGGTAAAAGTTTGAAACAAAGCTGATTCCTGGCCTGGTGTGGGATTTCTCTGCTTCCCTCTGCTGTGCAGGCTGAGAGGGTGAGGATAATTAGCCAGCAGAGCAGATTCATGGCATGTGGTGGACTTTCCATCACTCAGGGTCCTTAGAAGATGCTTGGCTGTCTTTTCAGCGAAATATGCTCCAGCTCTGCGAGAAGCTATTAGAAACCTCATGAGGCAAGATTCATGCTCTGTAGGAGGTCAGAGAAAGCTGCCACAATAGTCCCTTCTGGCTTTAAAACCCCACCAGTCCACCCACCCACCTGGAGAGGACAAGGCTAGAAGGTCTGGCCATCAGAACATTTTCCTGCCCAACTCTGCAAGTTGGCTATTTTAGATTTTTTTTAAAAATATAATATTTTATTTACATTTAACTATATGAAATAATTAGCCAACTAATTAATGCCTTTTACAAGCTTTGTCGGATTCTTCAGCTGTCAGTCATGCCCGAGCCCGGGGCCGGCGTTCAATCTTAGCTCCCTCCTTCATCAGACTTGGTCTCCATGGCTACAGGCTGCATCTGCTGACACCCCACTCTCTATTTACTGCTTAATTAAGAATTTCACGCTCAGCCCTTATCTGCTGCTAAGAACAAGAACACACTGTTAAGAAACTCCAAATTTAGGCTGCTGCACAAGGAAAGCCTTTCTTGTTGTCCTGACTGCGTGGAGCCTCTTTAACTACCTCTTGGCAACTGCGCTGCCACCCTTCAATCAAAAATCATTAAATGGGGCAGAGATAATGAGCATGTAGCATATCAAAAGGAGGATGTTTGCTCGGGCTAAGGAGGAAAAGCTGTAAGGGCCCATAAGCAGCCGCCACTTCAAAGGGAGAAGGGGCTGATAAAGAGTCATTTGTTCCTGTTTGACTTATGTAAAAGGTCTGGTATGTCGCAGCCCCGTCTAGCAGACGCGGTCCCCCCTCTCCAGGCTCGTGTGTCAGCGCTCGGGCAGCTGGGCGCAAACAGCATCAGCCCCAGCATAAAATCACTTGACTCCGCGGCCACAATGGGCACTTGTAGGGGGTGGCGGAGGGAGGGCCGGGGGACAATGGCAAGACAATTATTGCAGCTGCTCGGGAGGGCCATAATTCTTCCTGCCCAAAGTCGGCGGCTCTGGAGAGCTCCAGCGTATTAGTCATCCTCCAACTTTTGGAAGCGCTCCGGTGGGGTTTCAACAGCTGCTGGTGTACCACCTCTCTGCAATAATTGTACATTCTGGACGGGGTCAACTCACTTTTGACCCTCTGCTTTTGTGCCCCTCAGAAAGCCTTTTAGGACAAACTGTGGGGAAGTGGCAGGGGTGCATTGCATCCAAAAATTAACGTCGGGAAATACGGATCAGATGCCAGCTCATTAATGAGCAGGCTCCTGAATTCACACAGCCTTTTACTCAGGCCTGCATGGGGGAGAAAATGGGGAGAAGGGGAAGGAAAACGCCGTGACTGAGAAGATATTGTTATTCAAAAGAAGCAGGCAGCCAAATGAAGCCACCTTGGCCAGGAGTTTTGCTTTGCTTTTGAGTTTTCCTCAGGCTTTCTCCATGCCCTCTTCCATCCGAAACTGCCTGGCATCATGCAAGTGTTTGTTTATCTTTGGGGGACAAAAAAAAAAAGTCTGTCTGGCACAAAAGGCAAGAAAATAGACCGTATGGAGGGGATTAAAGGAGTTAAGTTGCACTGAAGGCTGGAGTCTTGTAAATTAGGCTTGGGAGCGTAATTCCTGTAAATTAGGCTTGGAGGAGAATGCAGGGGGTGCTGAATGGGGAGAAATAATTGTAACAGAGAATGTGTCTGTTGTATGGGCAATGATCCTATTAACAAAGGTAGTCACTGCTACCTACATACATGAAACCCTGTTAACAGCCTCAAAGCCACTTTAAAAATCACCTTTTCAGACCATTTTAAAGCAATTTGAGTCGAAGGACAGGAAACTCCATGTCCCTTTTGAGTTCTGGGTGAAGAGGAGGCTCAGGGAGTTTGAAGCATCCCATGCCAGTCATTTCTACATCACCAGATTTGCTTTGACATGGTTCATAGCATCACTCTGATTTTCTCTGGGCACCCTATGTGTTAAGAGAAGTGATCCTCAAAGGTCACTGTGGGCCTGCAATTGTGGCGTGATCCTGAAACACTCATGGGCTGTGGCTCAACCACAGTTCAGGATATGATATGACCATGCTGAATAAAAAAAAAAAAAAAATAAAAAAAAAAAAAAAAAAAAAAATAAAAAAAAAAAACAACAAAAAAACCACAACACTTATTGTAACAAGGGTGGTGGAAAGAAATATCCTACTGGGACATCTGGGAAAATTTTTAGGAGAAATATCCTTTGTAAATTGCAATAATAACATGATGAGCTTTTTAAGTCTGTTACAAATTTCAGCATATGGCACCACAGCATGGTACTGCTCCTTGGTTAAGGTCTCTGGGCAATACTGGATCTGGCTAAAAACCAGAAAGATGTTGCTTCCTTTTAGTTTCCTTTTGAAATATTTAAAATGTTTTATTTTAGGATGGAACAAAGTATTGGCTTCCTTCACCTCCATATTTCTCTTGGCTTTTTCTTTTTTCCTAAAATTTGAAGTGCTGGACAGAAAACATCATTATTGAAAACATCACTGAAAGGATTATCAAACTTTTTATTTATCCCAAATACATTTTTCAGTAGACACAACTTTTATGCAGATGGGTCATCCTGCTGACTTTGCTCAGGCTGCTCATGTGTGAGTTGTTAAGAGAGCCTGAGGCTCAACCTCACATTACTGCTGTGTCAGAAGCAGGTTTACAAATTCCATAGTTCTTAAAAAAATAACTTGATTATACTTAGTGTCTTTTCTAGATTCCTAAAGAATGATCTCACTTCCATTAGGCTCTGTGGGTTTCTGTAATTGCTTTGTATAGGAGGAAAAACACTCTAAAGAATGTTTGTTTCTAATATTAAAATACAGAAAATAAATAAGCACAGATATTCTCTGCAGCCCTATTGCTTGGGGGTAAAGGAGAATCCTAGGTGGAAGACATGAAGAATGGAGTTAATTCTTTACAGAGGACTGATTGTACAGGGATGAATCTTTTCTTCCAGCCAGATAAAATGCACCCATATCAGTTGTTTCAGAGAGCCAGTTGAGCTGATGTGGGCTGCTCAGTGACCTCCATGAAA